TAGGGAAATTTTGATGTAAATTCAGAATATTTACATATAATCTCTATTGAATAATGCCTTCGACTAGTAGTAATATAGTCCATGTTAAATGCATGGCTGCTTAATTCTTTAAACCCATTCTTCCCCAGGGCACCCCTTAGCCTAGGGCAGCCTCAGGTATCTGCAGTGGCAAAGATCTTCCTTAGGCCAGTGATCCAGAGATGTCCAGCACACCCACAGCTATCGCAACTTCTGCTTCCATGGGTGGCCTGCTTTCTGTCAGGACAACTCTTCCCAAATTCCACATGATCAAATCTCCCCATAAGTTTTTCCAGAATTCTCAATTTTCAGTACAGTGACTTCAGGTCAAGGAAATTTTTCTTCTCCTGATATTTAGAAAGGACATATTTTAATTTAAACTAATATTTGTTTTAATATGTAAATGAAACCAGAGACTAATCACTTCATGTCCAAGTGAAATAAATAATGAATTTGCATTCCATTTATATTTATATTTGTATTTTTTAAAAATTCCTTTCCATAAAGTGAGTGAACCTTGGCTGTGGTTGTCTGTTATGAAATTTAAAACCTGAGAAGTCCAAATATAATATAATGGTGGAAATTAACATATATTTTTATTTTCAGATACCCAGCCAGTTTGTTGTAATAAATGAAAAATTTTGCAGGTAAAAGAAATTATTTACATTAAGTATAATAATAAAAGCATAATATGCTAATTAGACCAGATGTCCTTCCGGATGTGATTCTGGATGTCCTTCCGGAAGAAGCCAGGGCTGGAGGGAAGTCCGGGTTCCGGGTGCCAGAGGGAAACCGGTGCCAACAGGCAGGGGAAGGAAAACCTACTCTTGCACGAATTTTGTGCATCCGGCCTCTAGTAAAGTATAAATAAGAACCTATTTAGCAAATCACTATAATTGCTCTTTTTTGCTCTCAAATATTAGTAATAAGACTTAAAGAATGACACATATGTGTGTATACACACACACATATAAAATAGAGATATTAGAATAGTAACATGTATTCTGAAATACTATTCTATTTGAAATGTCTTTTGCAAAGATTGGGCTATTTTAAAAATGTACTTGAAATTTTAAAAATTGCTTTTAGTTACATGTTGTGGATATTTTGAGGTTGAAAGATGTCTTGGAAACAAGTTTAGTCCAGTCCCTTCTGAATCAGTTCCGTGTTCTTTGGTCAGAGTCAGCAGAAACTGATTCTGACTAAATAAAGTGGAAATGATTTTATGGGCAGGATATTGGGTAACTTGCTGAATTTAAGGGGGAACTGGCTCCAAAGAAAAGAGCAAGACCTGGCACCCTTGAATCTTGAATGGGTCTAGGTAGCAAGACCTACTAGAGACTCCCGTTGGGATGTTGCTGCCAGGTGGTTTGAGCTCCAACAACCTTCTACACTTTTGTGTTTCTTACCTCAACTTTCAAAATCCTGGGAGAAGGGGCAGTGGCTTAATTGGAGTCACTGACCCACTTGTGCCCAGGGAGTCTTTGAAATCAGGTCCATCCGAGAGGACACACAACGTGGGACCGGCCATTTCCAAAGTACTTTGCAATCTGGGAGGACCCAGTCCAACCCAGGCAGCCTCGCCTTCCAGGGCAGGGAAATGGACCAGAGGGTGCTTTTCTGCATCTCTGTCCCAGGTGAGATTAGAACTGGGATGGCCTCATCTAGTGGTTATATTTATTGTTTAAAATGAATAGTCTAATTTGGGTTCATTTAGACTATTCTTCATTTCTGCTCCGGAATGCACTCCTCACTCACAGGAAAACATGCTCGCAGCTCAGGCATCGACCTACATTTAGCGCCAGTGCTTGTGTGAAGCCTGGTTGGATTTCCGGGCCCTTATCCTCTCAGTCCTCCGCTGCCACCCCAAAACTCTCTTTGAGGTTACCCCTTGGGTAGCCTTTTAGGCTCCTCAATCTCAAGTTATCTGAATCCAAATTCATTACCTTTCCCCCAAACTGTTCATCCTTTTGGGTTCCCCTCTTCAGCAAATTAGCAATTACCCCCTCCAAAAACCTGATGTTATCCTTGCTCCTCTTGTTCCATCACCCCCAACACTCACTCATGAATCAAGTAATCAATATTTTTCTCTCCTAACTATGTGTTGAATCCACCTGGTTCTATTTACTCTCTCAGTTCCCTCAGTTCCATTGTATGACATTCAAATTAAACTGGGCAGCCGGCCCAGCTTTATCCGGCATCCCTGAGCACCGGGGTTTGTCAGCGTTCACTTCCAGATCTTGATCTAGGACCTGTGATAGACACTGACTTTGCCTATCTGTATCCGTTTCTCCCTTCTTCTTTGCCAACATAACTGCAGTTTCGTTTAGGGTAGCAAGGTGCCCTAGAACAGGCAGCACCTTTGTTTTTCTAGTCTCCTTGTAGCAAGGATGGCCGTGGGACAGGGTTCTGGCCAGTGGCACCAAAGTGGACATCTGTTAGTAGCTGCAGAACTGTTTCTGTTTTCCCCAATAATAGGGATAGACACCGCTGGTGCCATCCCATCCTCCCCTTTTTTGTGGCCTTGAAGGTGGAAATGATCACTGGGAGCTGGAGAAGCCCTCCAGTGACCAGCAGGGGACAAGCATGAAGGAAAGGTTAAAATAAGGTTCAAGGCCTGAGCCTTGAACTTGCCAGCCACTGCACCAAGGCCAGTAGCAGCCTACCTTTAGGCATCTTGTTCTGTGAGAAATATAAACCTCTCATTTTGAAGGCAATGTGAGGCCGAGTTTTCTCTCTTGTAGTTGAATGTTTCCCTAACCTGTGGGGTTCGATACACATGTCCATCTCTGATGCACGCGATCCATCCTTTTCCATCAGCTCTGCAAATATACTGACCCGACTCCCTCCATCCCTCCTCAGTGCTTCTTATTCTCAGAGTCGTAGCTGTGTCCTCATCGGGCCCCAGTGGGCAGTCCGCACAACAGCCTTTCGCACTCATCCCCTTCCTATGGCATTGTGGGAGGGGAGGAGCGGACATGGGCTTCCACAGCATCCCATTGCTTCTCCACACTCTCTCATGACTAGAAAGCAGGAACTCAAATGTTATTTCCTCCTGCCATGTAGGTATGGCATATATTAATATGCACACTTCACAGATGACAAGAAATGAGGTTGAGGGGGATTTCATAGACCTGGGTGTTCTGATCCAGACTTTGGGGGTTTTGACTAATTCTAGTCTATTTCCACTCCACGCTGAAGTTTTTATTGCAAGTAGTGTCACATCAAATCGGTTGTTCTAAATATTTTTCTTCCATTTATTAAAAAAGAGGAGTGTACTAACCGGTTTGGCTCAATGGATAGAGCGTCAGCCTGCAGACTGAAGGGTCCCAGGTTCAATTCCAGTCAAGGGCATGTACCTTGGTTGCAGGCACATCCCCAGTAGGGAGTGTGCAGGGGGCAGCTGGTCAATGTTTCTCTCTCATCGATGTTTCTAGCTCTCTATCCCTCTCCTTTTCTCTCTCTCTAAAAAATCAATAAAATATATAATAAATAAATAAATAAAAAGAGGAGTGCAAAATAGTTAATATAAAGCTATATCATTTGATCTCTAAATTCTTGTTTAGTGGAATAATAGCCACCCTATTTCCTGCATGGCAATTTGCATCTGAAATTATTTATTATTTGTTTGCTTATTTGTTGATTGTTTTCTCCCATGAGAATACAAACTTGCCCCAGGGCATTGAACCTAATTGGTCTAGAACAGTGCTTGGTGCTTAATAGGAAACTCAATAGCTATTTTTTGAATAAATAGAATATTTACTTGTTACTTTATCTCCTTGCATATGATTTATTATTAAGTTAGTAGTGAAATATTTATCTAACAAATTATAATGTAATCTTAACATAAGTAATTCAAAAATATATTTAGTAATACATTTCAATAAACATATTCTGCATGAATGAATGAATGAATGAATGAGTCTACATAACATACAGTGAAACCATTTACTCTGGACTGCATGCTTTGATATTAAAATATTTTACTTTTTTTGTTTTGCTCAGGTTATCTGTTGTTTTGTTTTGGTAAAAGTCTAGTATATCAAGTATTTTTGGATGTCATCAATTGCCATGGTCTGGAATGTTTGGTGCCCCAAATTCATATGTTGAAATCCTAATCCTAAAAGTGGTAGTAAATAGGGGTTTTGGGAAGTGCTCAGGTCATGGGTAGATCCCTCCTGAATGGGATTAGTACCTGATAAAAGAGGCGCCAGAGCAGCGGTTCTCAACCTGTGGGTCGCAACCCCTTTGGGGGTTGAACGACCCTTACAGGGGTCACCTAAGACCATCGGAAAACATATATATAATTACATATTGTTTTTGTGATTAATCACTATGCTTTAATTATGTTCAATTTGTAACAATGAAAATACATCCTGCATATCAGATATTTACATTACGATTCATAACAGTAGCAAAATTACAGTTATGAATTAGCAACAAAAATAATTTTATGGTTGAGGTTCACCACAACATGAGGAACTGTATTAAAGGGTGGCAGCATTAGGAAGGTTGAAAACCACTGTCCCAGAGAGATAGATCTCTAGCCCCTTCCACTATGTGAGGGCACAACACAGCTAGAAGGCACCAGCACAAACCACACTGACGCCTTGATCTCGAACTTCTAGCCTCCAGAACTGTGAGTGATAAATTTCTTTTGTAGATAAGCTGTTCAGTAATATTTTGTTACAGCAGCTCAGACAGACTAAGACATCAGTCAACTACCTAGCTTGTGTGTCCATATCAAAGGGAGCTCAGCTTTAGAATTGATATATTTATAATGTAATTTTATTAAAACTACTGAGTTTAGATAGCTCCTGGCATCTTTTGTTAAACTGAAGTTCTTCAGTGGTTAGTTTTCAGTGCTTTCACGGAGGAAAAAAAGGCAGCATGATTCAACCTTTCATTATTATAGGATAAAAACACTGCACAGACTTCAAGAATGAAAATAACATTTTGAGTGTTCTGATTCTCGCTCCCAGTTACCGGAACACATACAAGAAGAACATCTGTGTGGACATGCTGCGAGATGGGTATCACAAGTCCTTCACTGAGCTCTTCAGCCTGATGGAGAAGTGGGAAGCCCTGAGGGAGGCTGCGAGGGTCAGGTCCGTCTTCTGGTTGCAGAAACCCCTGGAGGAGCAGCCTGATAAGCTGGATCACTTCTACTACTACCTGACCAGGGCTGAGGTGGCTGAAAGGAAAAGTAAGTGCAGGGAGGATTACAAACTGTTTCTTGTATACTGATATACCTTGATGTGGAGATGGGGGAACAAGGAGAGATAAACCAAAGAACTCATATACTTACTAGAGGCCTGGTGCACAAATTTGTGCACTAGTAGGGTTCTTCGGCCTGGCTGGTGATCGGGGCTGATTGAGGCCATCTCACCAATCCCTACCAGGGCGATCGGGGCCAGCTGGCCACAGAGAGGGACCATGGGAGGTTGGCCACCACAGGAGGTTGGCTGTGGGAGCTCACAGACCACCAGGGGTAGCTCCTGCATTCAGCGTCTGCCTTCTAGTGGTCAATATGCATCATAGCAACTGGTTGACCAGTTGTTCATTGCAATGATCACTTAGGCTTTTATATATGTAGATATGCATAGCCCATAGATATGGGCCATAGGGTGGGGAAGCCCTAAGGAGATGGGTTGGGTCTAGATCAGGGGTGGGCAAACTTTTTGACTCGAGGGCCACAATGGGTTCTTAAACTGGACTGGAGGGCCGGAACAAAAGCATGGATGGAGTGTTTGTGTGAACTAATATAAATTCAAAGTAAACATCATTACATAAAAGGGCACGGTCTTTTTTTTTTTAAATTTTATTCATTTCAAATGGGCTGGATCCAGCCCGTGGGCTGTAGTTTGCCCACAGTTGGTCTAGATGGAGGGGAACAAAGGAGGGGGAAATGGGAGACATTGTAATACTCTCAACAATAAAAAATATACTAAAAAAATAAATTGTTTCATGTATGAATTTGAGACATTAAGACACCTTAGCACAGTTCAACCTAGTCAAATAAGCATCTTTATGGAATAAGTGCCAGAACCTTGAATCACAGGGCTGCCCCAGACACAGGGGTATTGTGGTACTGTCATTTCAAACCAGAGGAGACAAGGAATACCATCTCCACAACTTTCCGATGTATTAAAATCTTCTGTATCATTAAATATGAAACTTTCCAGACTTCTTCTTTATCTATGAACTGAATATTGACTTTCACTGAGGCGATACTTTCAAAGAGCATTAGAATTTGAAAATTAGTATACTGATTTTCTAGTATTTGATAATGGAACTTGAGGGTTTCATCAATAAATTCTATAGATTTCAATCAGAATTTTTACTAGTAAACTAGAGGCCCAGTGCACAAAAATTTGTGCACTTGGGGGTCCCCTCAGCCTGGCCTGTGCCCTCTCGCAGTCTGGGACCCCTCGGGGGATGACCACCTGCTGGCTTAGGCCTGCTTCCTGGGGGATTGGGCCTAAGATGGCAATCAGACATCCCTCTGGCAGCCCAGGAGCCCTCAGGGGATGTCCACTCACCAGCAGGGAGCAGGCATAAGCTGCAGTTGGACATCCTTAGCACTGCTGAGGAGGCGGGAGAGGCCTTCCC